TATATATATAATTTTGGACTGGTTAGACAGTTGTATTTCGAGCCCATTATGTTGTAAATAATTAAAAATTTAAATAGAATAAATTAACGTCTTCAGTCAGGCTTCAGTCAGTCAGTCAGACAAAAGAGTAATTTACTCTTTTGTCTGTTAAAAAGGGAAGTGTGCATTACATAATCTTTTATAGTGATTATTACCTGTGAACACAGTCTTTTATTTCCCGGAACAGCAGTCAACAACAACACTGCAACCAACCGCATATCCATCCATCAACAGTCAAATTTAGTTTGCTCAAGTCAAACTGGCTGAGCGGCTTCTTGCAGTGAAAGAGAGCTGTCTGCTACGAGCCGCTACTGGTGGGTTCCTGCCCGGATGTATGAGTTGGAAATAGCGCCGATGTGAGAGGGTGGGGCCTTGGAGGTTGCTCACTGGAAGTACAAGACCAACAGGTTTTCACCAATTCTGCTGTGCTGGAAGATAGGATTACACCATAAACCCCAAAACACACTAACCAAACATTTATTAATCCTGCTTTGGCAAAGTTATGAGAAGATCTGAGAAAACCTTGAGTAAATCATGCAAACTGTGATGTTCAGAGCAACAAACGGATCACAGAATTGCATTACGTCTCCAGATTTGTACGGTTCTTAAACTAGAGAAAAACATGCATGCTTGTCAAAAATGACCATGATCACAACCACATGTTCGAGAGGCAACATGAAAGAGTTATTGATGCCTTCATGCACCATGCAGCATAATAAAGCAAGGGCAAATATTGCCCAGACTTGAATGAACAATGAACAGCAGGATTTTCCATCGCCTGGTTTGTATTTTGATCAATTTTTTTTATTTATTTTGCAAACCATTACAACTGAAAGAAGATATAAAGCTTTAAAAATGTTTTCATAAATTAACATGCTGCTAGACTTGTCAAAAAAAAAGCAACCTAAATGTGTCTTCTTTCACTATCTTCTTAACTTTTTGATAAATCACTCAGTTCCTTGTTGCATGAAAGAGTCCCCATCGCTGGTCTCCACTTTTAGAGCGATCCAGCTTTTCCCGCCATCCGTTAACTATTGCAGAATAATCCTCCTCGGAAAATTCCTGCAAAGTAAATAGCAGATCGAAGGATATTAGTAAGTCCTCCGAAGTTAAGTAAAACTTGTGCAAGTAAGTAAATCCCCCAAGCTGCTCTGCAAACTAACCTGGATAAATTCCTCTTTAATGTCCTCTGCTCTCTGCAGCTCAGTCTGGATCACTTGGATGAACTGGGCTGTTCGGTCTTCTACTCGAACATTGCAGAATCCAGCTTCCTGAATGAACTGCATCAGAGAGAAGGGGGGCACGGTGAGTAAGAGTGGAAACAGCACCACCTCCTGGATAACTGTAGTATAACGTCTCGTAGAGAATGAACAAAACCGTTTTTCATTGGAGTCACGCAAAAATCCTAACATACTGTATAAAATGTCTTTCAAAGGCTCTGGAAGGCATTAGTAGGTTTGACGTCGTTGTAAGTTGTTTTGGTCTGATGCAGCGTTGCCTTTAGGCAGCAGTGCGTCTAGCTGGAGATTAGTCTGTACAAGAATTTCACCAAAAGTGATTGACAGTGGCTCTTGCTTCAGTAGCGCCCTCGGCAAGCTTCTCCTCCTGCCAACCCCAGAGTCTACTGCAGCAGCTGGTGAAAACACAATTTCTTCACTTTTCTTGGTTGGACGTAGATAAAGGTACGACACAGGGTAAGTGGTGCCACAACAGAACCTGACCCCTCCATTCTCAGCAGCAAGTGGGAGTGCCTGCTCATATGACACATAAATAAGTATTTTTTTTTAATGTGTCTTGACCTTTGTCTTTATTGCTCTCTTTGCTGATGATTAACAGATTCATTTCATTTGAGATGTATCATCTTATTTTCCAGATATTTCTTTTTATTATTATTGCAGCAGGAATCTAATCAACAACTGATATTTCCATCTCAGAACCACTAGTTTTAAAATGTTCTGGTATGTCATGAAAGCTCACTCTTCTAATATTGAACCAAACTACACAGCAGTGGGAGGTGCTGACATATAAACCTGCTGGTTTACCTTGCCATACTCTGACGGTGTGTAGAGGATGTAACCTCTCTGTGTGACGTAGGCCTCAAATACTGGAGTCCATGGCTTCTCCCCGCAGCAGTAGTCGCTGATCAGCAGCTGACCTCCTGGCTTTAACCAGGACTGGATGCAAAGAAGCAGAAAAGTTACTGATCATATGGCAAAAGGAATGAAAGAATAATCGTGACATGAACTTTTCATATTTTTCTTATGCTTGTCTCACAAACAAATCAACGTAAGTATAAGATAAGAAGATGATTAAAATTCTCACGTGGAAGCGTTTGAAAAGAGCCACTTTGTCATCTATGTGCAAAATTGTGTCTCTGCTGTAGATCACGTCGAATGAACCTTCTGGAAACGTCCTCTTAGTAGCGTCTGCCACCTCGAACTGCACCTAAGGAAGCGCCAACAGCTTAGACATATTTTGTTTCATGGTTGTACAGTGGTGCACGCTTATAACAAAGGAGCTGCAGAGGCAACTCTCTGATTTTTAATATGAAAAGTAAAAGGAAATAAACGTGATCCATACTGATGGCAGCTTCTCCGCTCTTGCCCTTTCAATGGCAATGTCGACCATGTTGTCGGACAAATCCAAGCCAAGCACTTCCACCCCAAACATCTGCAGAACAGCATAACATTTGCTTTCCTTTTAGTTTTTGTAATCATTTTGATGATGCTGATGTTTCTCCTGGTTTTGTTGGTCTTACTTTTGCCATGTAGAAATCTCCTCCTCCAATTCCACAGCCTACATCCAGAACCTTCTGTCCACGCTTCAGGTTCAGCAGGTCCACAAACTCCTGTTGGGAAAATTATTAAATCTTTAATTTGCTAAAATATCAAATCCTCAGCCAACTATTAAACATTTTATTATGCGTTTTGCTTTCTTTCAGCATTTTGCCTTCTTTCTGAAACATCTTTAATTTTTTTTTTACCTTGGTTGTGCTGGGTCCACCTGTGCTGACATAACCAGCCCCAAACATCTTTTCGTAGCGCAGGATGCCTCGTCTGGTGTACTGCTGGTTGTCCAGGAACTGCTGGAATGTGCCAAAACCATTCTGGGAATTGGAGGAGCGAGGAAGCTTCTGCAGAAGCCAACACATCTGGTTCGGATTGTTTTTCATCTGAGACAGCAGAAGGATGAAAGCAAGAAAATTTAATGAAAGAAAGACATGTTTTTTTTTTTTTAATCTAAACTTTTTACCACATTTTAAACATGTGAAACGTCACAGGAATTATCTGGAGATAAAGATTTAGCAATACCTCAACATAAGTCTGAACTCTCTTTTTAAAGACAATATCGAAACCAAAGTTTTGGCCTCCCTCCGGTGCCTCCACATGCACCGAGGTGGCCAAGTGAGTGTACTGTGCCTCGCTGCGGTAGCAGGTGGGGTTGAAATCTCTCTTGCAGTCGCCTTTAAAGAATAAAAAAAGTAATTATTTCTGTTGAATAATAATAATAATAATAAAAAAAAACACTCTATTCTTTAAATCTAAAGCCCAAATTATGATTTATATGGTTTGGGGAAAGCAAATTTAATTTCCAAGGCAATATTTCTTAATAAATTTAAATGTTCATCAGCTTAATTTCATATAAATTGGTTGTTTAAGCCATCTGCATAAAATGCAACATTTTACAATTGTAAAAGATTCATGAAAGTTTCCGGTTGACTCAGTACCTGAGCGGTGGTTGCAGGACTCTCTGAAGAAGAGAAAGCCACCTGGCTGCAGCCAGTTCAGCATTTTCTTCATGAAGGACTTCAGCTCTTCGTCACTCAGATACATCAGCAGCCAATTGGAGAAGATAAAGTCGATACTGAGGAAGTAGTTATATTAGTAACTCCAAAATGTGCAGCTTGACAGGAAATATATTCTATACAGGAGAGATTAGTGAGCATCGGTCATGGAAAGTAGGTATGACCTGCAGGAGGCGCTTTAAGATCTGATACATGAAATGTTTGATTAAATATAAACTCAGTTTAGTGAAACTGAGTCACAGTTTGCATTTCACCAAAAACTGTAGGTATAAGCTTCATCTGATTGTGTAACAGCAGAAGTCAGGAGATCATTTTCTGTGCCTCTTGTTTCTTTCACAACTGATTCACAGAGCAGTCGTGATTTCTTTCAGCTATTCTGCTTAACTTTCAGCAAGTCTGTACTCTTCACCCCTACCTGTGTTGGGGGATGTCCAGCTTTGTGACGTCAGCTTGGACGAAGCTGACGTTGCTATGGTGACCATTGTTCTGCCTGTTCTTGTCCACAAAGCTTTGCATGAAGTCCACCGCGGTCACATGGGCTGCCTTGGTCAGCAGGTGGCTGGTGAAGCGGCTGCAGAGGAACATGACAGTTTTCTATGAAACAAAAATGAAGTTTGATTCAAACAACTTTAACTGTAAGAATGAAGCATTTATAATATTGCTGCAGCTAAGAGTTATTTTTCTTGCATAGCGAACCTCTGGAATCTTTTAAAACAGACAAATATAGTTGTGTTTCATCTCCATAGTTAGGGGGGAAAAATTTTTGTGTCACCCTATATTCTGAGTAAGGCAGAGTATATGAATATTGAATAAACGTGACCCGACAACACAGCCTTGAGGAACCCCAGATGTGATCTTTGTTTATTCCGTTAAATAACTGCTCTGCCTTAAAATGAAATGTCTAGGACTAAATACATTTCAAGTTTGATAGATAAATATTAACCATGTAGACCTGCAGGTCATCAGAACACCATTTATTCAATGTTTCCTGGAACAAAACTAAAGAAGACAAGGCAGCATTTAATTTTCTTCCTCATACTATTTACAATAATGCTTTAGCTAAGGGCTTAAAACATTTACAGGGAGTAACTGAGCTTCATGCTCACCCAATCCCAGCTCCCAGCTCCAGCACTCTGCGTCCCTCCAGGGAAGGCAGCATGGACAAGATCTCGGGCAGCTCATGCTCTGTCAGCTCTTTGGCCCGGGAATCCAGCATCATCTCCTCCACGGTGGCGCCTTTGGAGTGCTCCTTCCAAAACTCTGTCATGTTACAACGAACTGTTGAGCAAACAGACTGCGTGAGCGGAAACTGAGGATTGGAAAAAAAATGTTAGTCAAATAAAAGGACAAACTTCGGTCAGATGAAAAGGAATTTATTGCCACGTCAATATTAAGTTGTTGTGTAATTTGAACTATTGAACTCTTTCCGGAGTCGCTGACGATAGATATGGGGAGGTAAACCGTAATGCTTCTGTGTATCTTGTCAATCATAATTCACCTTTCAACCAGTTCTTGTGTGTGTGTTCAGTTTAGTGATTATATTTTAAACAGGCGGTTCTTATAAAATGTCTTTTAAACATAAATCCACACTAACTCCCTGTCCAGCACACAGATTAACCTTTAATTGAACGGATTAGACAA